TAAGTGGTTCAAAAATTAATTGATATTTTTTTATCGGAAATGGTCCAAAAATTAATTGATATTTTTTTACAAGGTTAAGTGGTCCAAAAATTTAATTGATATTTTTTCCAAGTTTAAGTGGTAAAAAAATTAATTTATATATTTTCGGAGGTTAAGTGGTCCAAAAGTTAATTGATATTTTTCCAAGTGGTCCAAAAATTAATTGATATTTTTCCAAGTGGTCCAAAAATTAATTGATATTTTTTCGGAGGTTAAGTAGTCCAAAAATTTATTAATATCTTTCCAAGGTTAAATGATCCAAAAATTAATTGATATTTTTTACAAGGTTAAGTGATCCAAAAATGAATTGATATTTTTTTGGAGGCTAAGTGGTCCAAAAATTTAATTGAGATTTTTTCCAATATTAAGTGGTCCAAAGATTAATTGATATTTTTAGCAAGATTTTTTAAAAAAGAAAAGAAATATTTCTAAAATAATTTGCATTCATCTTAATAATAGCAAAAAGATTTTGACAATAAAACTGTATATTACGTTACGGCATTTTTTTTTTCATGATGGTATGCCATTTTTCAGCCAATTAGTCGTAGTACCGAGATAAATTCGGCCGATATAACAGCTTTGAACGAACCTAAAACTAAATTGACTTCAAACTTCTTTATTATTATACAAGAGTATTTTTCAATATATATTTAATTTCTGTTGGACAATTTTATTGATTCATATTCATTTTTAACATGTTAATTATGAATAGAAGAACAAGATGTATGTAAGACAAAAACAGACTTATATATATTGTGGATCTGTCGCGGGTCACAACCTCCAGACGTCACGTAACAGATGGGAATAAACCAGCGAGGAGTATCTTTCGCACTATGACCTTTTCGGTTCGTCACGGGTCTCCTGGGTCGAGCGCACAGATTTTTGGCGCCATTGTCAATTTCATTTCACAACTTCGTAGTAATTGTTAGTAATTTCTCACCCTCGGACGTTACCGCCTCTAATCTAGACCCCCTCACGAGACGGGCACAAAAATATAGGTCGAAGCGGGTGGCACGAAATTTGGGTGGAGGAGAAATAAAGATGGATAAAAGAAACTGTTTCCCCTATACACACACACATACACACACACACAAACACACACAAACACATATACATTTCGAATTATAAAAAATGGCGTCACTTGTTTGTTTAATTTGACGAGAACTTAATTGACTGCACGAATAAAAAGAATTCCTCTTGTTTTATACGCCACAACGTGGGCGTTTATTGCACTCCATTACTTCCCGTTGTTTTTTGGGGGTTTTTTGTTTGTTTGTTTTTTTGTTTTGTTTTGTTTCTCTAAGTAACTTTTGATTCTTTGACATACTTCTTTGTTCTTGTTTTACCATCCATTCACTCTGTAAAAAAGCCGACGGACAAAAAAATCCCTGCGGACAAAACAAAAACTGCCTCTTATCCCAAAAGTGAACAATATCCCAGGCTCATGAATAAGTCTCATATATAAAAAAAAAAAAAAGAAACAAATTTAACATTGATATCTCTGTCTTCATCGGCGAGGAGAATGTCGGACATTAACTGCCATATAAGACACTAAAATACTACTTAGCAGTTCAGCATTCTTCCTTGTTCCCGCAATATTTCGGTTGATGCATTCTACAGCCTTCTCCATGCATACTAATTTAAATTCTATACTTCTGAGTAATGTCCTTATACAGAGTATTGTTCAAACTAATGAACTCAGTTGTTGTTCTTGATTATTATTATTATTATTATTTCCTTTGATTTCTGGCGTTTACACATTTCTTTCCAGGTCCCGCCCAGAGTCCTAAGGTTAGAAATGTCATCATGACACTTTCCACTAACAAAAAAAAAATTACTTAGATAAAGCCCTTCGTAAAGTGTGGGCTGTACTTGTGAGAACAATTTTTTTTTTGTATGTCTTTGAGGCATGGACTTCCAGGAATCCCTTCAATTAGTATACTGCAATCTTTTCCAACCAGTCCTAAAGCTCCAACTACAACAGGAATTGTTGATGTTCCCATATGCCACATTTTCGAGATTTCTATTTATTATTATTATTATTATTATTATTATTATATATCGATTTCTGCTATAGTCACGCTACCTACCAAGTCTGTGGGAAGGCCTAAGGCAGGTAATGGTGTGTTGTTATGGCTGCATTTCATGATTCATTTTTCTATCTTCATATAACATCACTAGCGTTACATGGACAAAGTTCTTCTTGGTGTGTGGACTGTACTTATCAGGACAATTTTTTGTGTTTCTGTTAAGCTGTGATTGCCAGGAATTTTTCCAATCTGTTGTTGAGTTCCTTTTTTTATGATTCCAAGCGCACCTACTATGACTGGTACTATTCTTGTTTTCAATTTCCACGTTTTGGGGTTGTTGTTTTTTTCTATTTCCATTTCCAGGTCTTTATACTTCAATAGTTTTTCAAATTCTTTGATTGATATGTTACAGTCCGCTGGGCAAGACATATCAATTAGGAGACAAGTTATTATTATTATTATTATTATTATTTCTTTTGATTTCTTTTTCTCTCTCTTTTCTCGTTTCTTTTTCTCTTTCTTTACATTTTCTCTTTCCTTTCTCTCTTTTTCTACCTTTTCTGTTTTCTTTTTCTCTTTCTCTACCTTTTCTCTTTTCTTTCTCTCTTTCTCTCTCTCATTTCACTTTTCTTTCTCTCTTTCTCTACCTTTTCTCTTCTTTTTTCTCTTTCTCTCTCTTTTCTCTTTTCTTTCTCTCTCTTTTCTCTTTTCTTTCTCTACCTTTTCTCTTTACTTTTTCTCTTTCTCTACCTTTTCTCTTTTCTTTCCTTCTTTCTCTCTCTTTTCTCTTTTCATTCTCTCTTTTCTTTCCTTATTTCTCTCTCTTTTCTCTTTTCTTTTTCTCTTTCTCTACCTTTTTTTCCCCTCTTTCTCTCTCTTTTCTCTTTTCTTTCTCTCTTTCTCTCTCTTTTCTCTTTTCTTTTTCTCTTTCTCTATCTTTTCTCTTTTCTTTTTCTCTTTCTCTACCTTTTCTCTTTTCTTTCCTTCTTTCTCTCTCTTTTCTCTTTTCTTTCTCTCTTTCTCTCTCTTTTCTCTTTTCTTTTTCTCTTTCTCTCTCTTTTCTCTTTTCTTTCTCTTTCCTCTCTCTTTTCTCTTTTCTTTTTCTTTCTTTTCTCTTTTCCTCTACCTTTTCTCTTTTCTTTCTCTCTTTTTCTCTTTTCTTTTCTCTTTCTCTCTCTTTTCTCTTTTTCTTTTCTCTCTTTCTCTCTCTCTTTTTTCTCTCTTTTCTTTTTTTTCTCTTTCTCTACCTTTTCTCTTTCTTTCCCTCTTTCTCTCTTTTTCCCTTTTCTTTCTCTCTTTCTCTCCTCTTTCTCTCTTTTCTCTTTTTTTCTCTTTTTCTCTACCTTTTCTCTTTTCTTTTCTCTTTCTTTCCTTTTCCTCTTTTTCTTTCCTCTCTTTCTCTTTTCTCTCCTTTTTCTTTTTTCTTTCATTCTCTCTTTCTCTCTCTTTTCTCTTTTCTTTTTCTCTTTTCTCTTTTCTTTCTCTCTCTTTTCTCTTCTTTTCTCTCTTTTTTCTTTTTTCTTTCTCTCTTTTTCTCTTTTCTCTTTTTCCTTCTTTCTCTCTCTTTTCTCTTTCTCATTTTCCCTCTTTCTCTCTTTTCTCTTTTTTCTCTTTTCTCTCTCTTTTCTCTCTTTTCTCTTTTCTTTTTCTCTTTCTCTACCTTTTCTCTTTTTTCCCTCTTTCTCTCTCTTTTCTCTTTTCTTTCTCTCTTTCTCTCTCTTTTCTCTTTTCTTTCTCTACCTTTTCTATTTTCTTTTTCTCTTTCTCTGCCTTTTCTTTTTTCTTTCTCTCTTTGTCTCTCTTTTCTCTTTGCTTTCTCTTTCTCTACCTTTTCTCTTTTTTCCCTCTTTCTCTTTCCTTTCTCTTTTCTTTCCCTCTTTCTCTTTCTTTTCTCTTTTCTTTCCCTCTTTTCTTTCTCTCTTTCTCTCTCTTTTCTCTTTTCTTTCTCTCTTTCTCTACCTTTTTTCTTTTCTTTCTCTTTTTCTCTACCTTTTCTCTTTTCTTTCTCTTTTTCTCTCTCTTTTCTCTTTTCTTTCATACCTTTTTCTCTTTCCTTTCTCTCTTTCTCAATCTTTGAATGTGGAGATCCCATAAGATCTTGACTTGGCCGTTTTCGATCATCTTCTCTGATGATCGAAAACGGCCAAGTAACGCTACCATTCCCCGTCAACTTCAAGTCCACCCTTCCTACGCCAGTACCAATGTAGGTGGGAGGCTACTTTAAAATGGCGGCACTCGTATTGTAATATCATTATTATATCACTTAGCAAAGAGCGCGATTTTAGAAATGAAAATACACAGTGTTTAACAATGTACAGACAGTATGTCTGTTTACAAGTTACGTTTAATAATTGCATACAAGTATAACAAAAATATTTTTAAAAAAACAACACTTTGTACAAACGTCGCCTGTCAAGATAAAGAAAACGGTTGCAGAGGTAATGAACACGATAAAGCGAATAAAAAGGGACGGGAGTGAACAAAATGCCAGTAGAGTTCCATAAGACTTATACTATTTTATTAGTTCCTCTTACTAAGCAAGCAACTAACAGAAAATTTCAAGATGAGCAATACTCCCCATCATGTTACTCACGTTTTAGTTGCATCCATTCATGCTATTTACGTAGTGAAACTTATTCAAATAAATTTTCGCACAAATATTACGGCGTTCAGTGTACCTTTTAAGCTTTCCATTTATTCTTTCATACTATGGTCGCCAAGACAACCACATCGATGAGTGATGTCTGGATACGGTCTGTTTGGATATGGAAATCCCGACAAGATCTTGACTTGGTCGTCTTCGATCACCTTCTCTGGGTTCTGGTGGTACTGTTGTTTCCCGTCAACTTCAAGTTATACTTTCCTACATAGGCACCAATGCAAATGGGGGTGGGGCTTTTATCATGCCGGTGCTTGTAATCGTTTCTAAGC